CACTGCAGCAGGGGCTGCGGCCTACACCGTCACCAGCGACTCAACGGCAGCCCAGCTCCAGGTTGAGCTGTTGTTCAGCATCTTAGCTGTGGAGGGCAGTGTCACTGGCCCTCATATGTGGAGTCCAAACCGGGGCCCTCTCGCGTCCCAAGCCAGCTCTTAACCAACACGCCACTCGGCCGGCCCCATAGTTACTCTTGACCTTTTTTCTTCCATATAAATTTTAGAAGCATACTACCAGGTTCCACATTAAAAAAAAAAAATCCTATATAAACAAACTAATGGATACAGAGAGCAAACTGATGGTTGCCAGATGAGGGGTGGAGGGTGGGGGTGAAGGCTGAGTGAAAATGGTGATGGGATTAGGAAGTATTATACAAATTGGTAGTTACAAAATAGTCATAGAGATAAAGTACAGCATAGGGAGTACAGTCCATAATAGTGTAATACAATGTATGGTATCAGGTGGGTAGTAGACTAATCGGGGAATCACTTCTTTTTTTCTTTTTAAGATTTTTTTTTTATTGGGTAATTGGGGAAGGGGAAAAGTCAAGTTGTTGTCCTTCAATCTTAGTTGTGGAGGGTGCCGCTAGCTTCAGCTCCAAGTCCAGTCACGCCGCTCAGCTCAAGGTGCCGTGTTCAATCTTAGTTGCGGGTGGGCGCAGCCCACCATCCCATGCGGGAGTCGAACCAAAAACCCTGTTGCTAAGAGCGCACATTCTAACCACGGAGACATCCAGCCACCCATCGGCAGCTCAGTTCAAGGTGATTAGTTCAATCTTAGTTGAGGGTGGGCGTAGCCCACCATCCCATGCAGGAGTCAAACCAGCAACCTTGTTGTTAGAAGCATGTGCTCTCACCAGCTGAGCCATCCTGCTACCTGTTGGCAGCTCAGCGGCAGCTCAGCTCGGGCACAGCTCACTGGCCTATGTGGGAATTGAACTGGCGACCCTGTTGCTTACAGCTCATGCTCTTAACCAACTGAGCCATTCAGCCAGCCCTTGGGGGAATCACTTCTAAATTATATAAATGTCTAACCACTATGCTGTCCACCTGAAATCAATATAAAATACTGAATGGGGGCTGGCCGAGAGGCTCAGTTGGTTAAGAGTTAGCTCAAGAGTGCGAGCTCTGAGCAACAGGGTCACCGGTTCGATTCCCACATGAGCCAGTGAGCTGCGCTTCAGCTGAGCTGCCCCTGAGCTGCCAACAGGTGGCAGGATGGCTCAGGTGGTGAGAGCACGTGCTGCTAACAACAAGGTTGCCTGTTCAAGATGGTGGGCTACACCCACCCGCAACTAAGACTGAACTCGGCACCCTGAGCTGAGCTGCCGCCCAGATGGCTCAGTGGATAAAGCGTGCGCTCTTAACAACGAGGCTGTTGGTTCAACTCCCATATGGGATGGTGGCTACGCCCACCTGCAACTAATTGAACACAGCACCTTGAGTTGAGCGGTGTGACTGGACTTGGAGCTGAGTTTGCTGTGCCCTCCACAACTAAGACTGAAGGACAACTTGACTTTTCCTCTTCCCCAATTCCCCAATAAAATCTTTAAAATAATAATAATACTGAATGTCAAGTCTAATGGAAAACAAAAAAAATAAAAATACTATATAGCCATTTTTATTCACTTTTTTCCTTGTCTATATACATACATAATTCATACAGCTATAAGCAGTATATATATTTACATTCTCTCTTATCATAACTATTTTTCATTTTCATGTTTTCACATGGTCTTTATAATTACTTTACATAGTGTATAACATTCCCTCAAATTGATGTTGAATAACTGAGCCATTTCCAATCTACTGCTGGATGTTTAGAATCTTAAAAATTTTAATTATTAGTCATAATGCTATAGTAAATGTATTTGTAAATACATCACATTTTCTTCTTCGACTTACCTCCTTAATATTATTCTAAGAGTGAGCTTAACAGATCTATATGTTTTAATGGAAAAAGCTTAAAATATACAATTTCCTGAGTCTGAAGCAAAAAAGAAGAAAGTGCTAAATAAAGGTTTAAAGTGAAAAATGAGAAGGCACCTCAAAGTCAGTTTTCTGGTCCCCAATGGACTAGCGCTGCCTCCCTGCCTGTCTTCCCACGTCTAATGTCCCTTCTCTTTGTACGAAAAACAAACTCTAATGTCCCAATTTAAGGTCATTCTCTGAAAACCAGTATGTCTGGCAAAGATCCATATCAAGTCCCCAGAAGAACAGTGCCGTGGTCACAAAGGTGGGCTCGAGGCTACCTCCGCAGAGTCCAGATGGAGCTGAACCTAGCAACCCCCCCTGGCACCCAGAGGCAGTTAGGGATGGAAAGGCCCTGCCATCAGCTAAGTGCCACTGGACAACCCTGTCTTCTGACACCCCCCAAAGCTTCTTTTAATCCGGTGCAATCTTAAAACAGAGATCTAATTCAGACAATCATCGCCAATCCTCTAACACCTGTTAGCATTTTCAAATCCCTTTAGCAGAAAATCCCTACGAGGCTCTTTGAAAGGGTACAATGACCTGTTAGCACTTTTGGTGACACTGATAAATATGGTTAATAGTTCTTTTCTGTTAAGTGTCTATATAACACCTAGATTTTAAAAATGGATGCCAGAAATAGTTAAAAAACAAAAACTTTCCTCCTTAAAGACTCTCTAGTTCACAAGATATAGGAAATATTTTTGGTAACTTGAATTTCTTTTTTACTCATTACTAAGTCCCAAACAGACCACTTACAGAAGCGTAAACACTTAACTAACATTTTAATTTTGCCAAGTTCTAAATAAAGGGGGAAAAAACAAGCAATTTAAGCAATTCAAACTTATATAAATAGCACTCATAACAGGACTAGTGGTAAACAGTGTGTAAAATGTCCAGAATATAACACTGTTATTAAAACCTGGGACTGCATTTCCTGTCACAGCTGTTAACACTTTCACGGAACTAATTTTTAGGCAACCATTTAGCATTCATCTCTACACAGAGCACTCTGTCCAGTATAATGAGCACCAGATAGCAGCCATTTTCATGCAGGCTCAAGGAAGAGCTGGCGCTTGTGGGAGGCTAACTGGACCCCCTGGTCAAGCAAGCATCACAAGGCACCATGGAGTTCTTTTTTTTTTTTTTTTAGCTGAGCCATCCTGCCACCTGTTGGCAGCTCAGCAGCTGCTCAGCTCGGGCAGGGACTCGAACCGTTGTTGCTCAGAGCTCAAAGTCTTGAGCAAGCTCTTAACCACCTGAGCCACTCGGCCGGCCCACCAGGGAGTTCTTGTTCCATCATTCACTGAGGCAGAATGGGGGTTTCACTAAGTTGTTCGCCCAGAGTTTCCTGGGTGCCTACTCTGTGCCGAGTACAGCTCCTGGTCCTGGGAACACACTGCAGGAGACACAACAGAGGTTCCCTTCAAGGAGCTGACATTAACCAAGGGCGGAGATGCTGACAAACAAGTACATGCACAGTACAAATGGGGATAACCACCATGAGGAAATACACCAGGTGTGCTGGGGGAAGAGAGGGTAGCATTCTACAAGCATGAACGTGTGGACACGACTGCATCTTGAAAAGTTCACTTGAGTGGAACATGGAGGAGAGGGAAAGCAGGGAACTCGGCATCTCTGGCAGAGGTCTGCCTCCCACCCAGAGGCACAGTGCACTGGTCACACTGGGGGCTCCACACCACTGCCCCGGAGGCTCAGCATTCCCTGAGTCCAGATGGAGCTGATCTACTAATAAGCACCGCTGGTCAGGAGTCCCTGTGTGAAAACACCTGTGTGCTGAGTATGGAGAAAAGGGTAAAACCACCTAAATGGCTGGTAACACTGGCTGCCTCAAGGGAGATGAGGGTTTTGAAAGAATTATGATTCTTTAGACATCTGTGTAAGGTACCCTTGTTCCTAAAGCAAGCACTATACAATAATTAAAAATAACAATAAAAGAAATTAAATGAAAACAATAGAGGTTGGAACAAGTTTAAAAGGAAAGAAGCAATTAAAAAAGAGATGATTTCTACAAAAGAAAAGAAAAGAAAAGAGAAACCTGACAAAGCATTAGGAATCTAAGAAGGCAGAGGGGACGGGATTCCAAGCCAGGAAATGGTTTGGCCATACACAGAACACTGTGACAGGTGATCAGGGGTCGAGAATGGGCGCAAACCTCAGTAGGAGCTCCCATTCTCTCTGTGACACGGTGTGGTCACTTGGTGGGCAAAGCAGGTCTATTTCAAAGACAGCAGAAATAGTAGGGAAAGCTGGTGGGCTGCTGAGAGACGCCCTACAGTTGCCAGGCAGTGTTGGTGGGTCCATTTGGGACTGAGGTTGTAAATCTATGGAGAAGGCCAATGGGCTCTGCTGGGAGGCTCTCTGGCCGCTCAGGTCCAGGGACAGAGAGCATGATATTGGCAAAAAGTGTTCCTGAAATGATGGTCCTGAGGCTCAAGCTGGACAAAAGAGGGAGTGAGTATGGGCTGATGGATCAGGATGAAGAAGGGAAGGTCCACTTACTTTGTTCCCTGTTATAACCCCCAATTGGAACAATCTTCGTACAGAACAATAAATATTTACAGCAGATGCCCAGTAAATATTTATTGCAAGAATGAACTGAAGAAAACAAAGGTCCTGGCAATGCTGAAAAATGGCTAAAACTGAAGTAGCTAAAGCAGTAATGTGAGAGATAGAAGGGTCTTATCAGAGTAGGAAAAAAAACACACCTTCATTCTTGGGTTTTTAGGCATAAAAAGAATTTTAGGAACTGCCTATAATTTAGTAAACACTCATGTATTAGGTTAGCATGCAAGAAAGGAGTTTTAAACACCTACAGTTCTCATAATTTTTCACTGAAACTGGCTAGATCTCAGATTATTATACCCTGCAGGCAGGAACCAGAAGGCAGCTCTGCTAAGACTTCCTTCAGCTCAGTGGCTGCCCCCTTCTCCTAAACGAAAGGAGGTGGTCCAGACATGCACTATTCCATCTACCATTCAGTTACTATCCCACTTGCTACTCACTGTGATATGATTGTAGATAAGCTGAGACCATCCAAAGAGATCTGCTAGTCTGTAAAATGCTGCCAATTTACACCGCAATAATTTCTCCCCTTTGTCATAGGCAATCGAATCAGATCCTCTAAGGTCATTCACAGGAGTCACCATACCAAGACCTGAAATAAAGAAAACAAAACTCCAAGATTTAATATTTCTTACCAAATGTAAATCAAATAATAAAGGTTCTGAGATAGTAATCTTCCACACTTGACAAGTCAGTCTCAAAAACTCAAAGACTATTTCATAAAGACCATATTCCCCACCCCCAACATTAGTACAATTACACTGAAATCAGTAACAAAAAGGTAGCAAAATTTGTGGCATGCAGTAAAGCAATACTTAGAAGGAAATTTACAGTATTAAACATTTATTAGAAAAGAAAGATTAAAAAAATTATCCAGGTTTCTACCTTTTGCATCTAGAAAGAGAAAAGCACATTAAATCCAAAAATAAAAAAATAATAAAGATAAAAGTGGATATCAGTCGAACAGAAAAATAATAGAGAAAACTGATTTAATGTTGAGAAGATTAAAAATAAAATAAATGAAATGGCAACAAAACAAAATACACCTCTAGATTCATCAACAAACAGCACAGATAGAAATTATCAGTATAAAGAAGTAGAGGTGGGACTGCAGATTGGTGCAGCTATTATGGAAATCAGTATGGAGATATCTCAAAAAACTGGAAATGGAACTACTGTATGACCCAGCAATTCCACTCTTGGGTATCTATCCAAAGAAACCCAAGACGCTAATTCAAAAAAATATATGCACCCCTATGTTTATTGCAGCGCTATTTACAATAGCCAAGACTTGGAAACAACCGAAATGCCCAT